GCTGGGCGGGAAAATTTATCCCAGCGATTTTCGTAGTAAGTTTCACCAAGTTTTCAGTTTTACGAAAAACATCAAAGTTGCACTTTTTAATTATTTCCATATATCTCGGTTATGCTCTACTTGAATCACTGATTTTTTGGTTACACCAATTAAATTATGTTTCCTAGATTCATTTCTCAGACGATCATATACACATAAATTTGATTTCGTGCCATACGAGGTTTTCAAATCTAACGAGGTCAGTTTTTGCCAAAAGGCTACGATAACACATGGTATTTCCTATATGACCAAGCAATTAGATGTAATTTTAATATTTCTGATCAAATCATAATTAACGTAACATTAATAATAAATAACCATATCATTACTTCAGGGTTTTATTAAATTAAGAAGTTGAGAGTTTACAATCATATTTCCCATCGTAGTTATACCAGTAACAAAAACAACAAATTTCACTTAGTTATACAATACACAAATACAAATTATTTGACCAACCGCAACGGTAACGAAAACAACAAGTTTCACTCGGTTTTCGTGTTTGGGTCAGGGAAAAAAAATCATTTTCGCACGAAGGAGAAAAAAAAAAGAGAGAGCTCTCGAGAGAAGGCGATTTGGGGAGATTTCGATCCGTGGCGAGACCAAGGTAAATCGAGAATCCGTAAATCGAAGGCTTCTCTTGCAGATTTATGGGTTTATATTAGGTTGGGTGTTGTTTTTCCTTTAGTTTTACCGTTTGGTTTTGTGTTTTCGACGATTTTGGGAAATTTTGGTTTCAAATTAGGGTTTCAAAAATTGTGGATTTCAATCGATTTGTTGTCTAGTTAGGTTGGATGTTGTTCTCCTCTCATTTTACGGTTGGGTTTTGTGATTTCAAGCAATTTGGGTTTCAATCGATTGGGGGATAGTAATACCGAAAATGTAACATTGTTTCCATTTCAATTTGGGTTTCAATCGATTAGGGGTTAGTAAAACCGAACATGTATGATTGTTTCCATTTCGTTTCTTGTTTGCAGATGGCGAATCAGCATAAACCTCACCTCTTGAAGCCTTTGCTTCCTGGTTTCTACAGTGGCGTGGTATACACACACTCTCTATTTCTCCTCTGTTTATGTTCTTTGCTTAACTTCTCTTTTGTTGACTTGTAGGCAATACCACTTTCCTTCTACTCAAAACACATAGAAGGCAAACCGAACCAAGGAAAATAAACACTACGATCGGGCGCTTCACACAAAACTTGGAAAGTTATACAAGAAGGAAGAAGACTCACCAATGGTTGGAAAGCCTTCGCCAAAGCACACTCCCTTCGCATCGGTGACATTGTCGTGTTCAAAAAGGAAGGAGACATGGTCTTTCATGTGAATCCTTTCGGTCTTAGTTTTACTGAGATTCACTATACACCTCCTCAAGGAGATGATGCTGCGGATGGTGCTCCTTCTTTCTCATGTGACTATTGTTTTTTTTGCTGAGGCCACTCTGTCAAATCTCTCTGAAGACAAACTTGTGAGTAGTTTACTTTATGTGTCTGAATTTAAAATCTTTGTGAAGATACACTTGTGATCTGTTATGTGTCTTTACCTTCTTTGTTTGCAGCATCTTCCTGTTGGGGCTACGCGGTGTACTGCTTTGAACAATCGATGCCGAGAAGCGAAACTGGTGAACAAAGAGGGAAATTCATAGTCACTCAGTTTGCGATTTAACGAAGCAGGCGGCATGTTTTACATCGGAAGAGGCTGGAGAAGGTTTTGTGTTGATAACAGAAGCAGCGTAGGAGACTCATTTGTCTTCAATGTGGTTGGAGATGGGGAAACTTCTCCATTGCTGTGTGTATGTCCGGAAAGGAAAGAGTGTACTGACTTACAAACCAACTACTTGAGCAGCAAGAATGGTGCCTCAACTTCCTCGTCTCTTCCTACATGATGCATGTTTGTCTTGCTATTGTCTTATTGTATAATCTGCTTGTAGTGAACTTGTAATGGATGACTTCTATGTTGTTGTTCCCTTGTTTCAAAATGTTTTTAAACCTATGACTTGTAATGGATGATCAACTCTTAATCATGTTTTAAATAATTATTGTCTTTTTATATTTAATCATGTTTTAAATAATCATTGTAATTTTATATTTAATCATGCAATAAATAAGAAAAAAAAGTTTATATTTTATTATTTTTTATTCTTAAGGACTCCTAATTGGATAACACCATAACATTAACAATAAATAACCATCTTAGTACTTCAGAGACTTATTACTCAGTTTTTCCATTGTAGTTATACCAGTAAAGAAACCAAGTTTCACTTAGTTATACAACACACAAATACAAATTGATTCTCTCACAACGTTCCCATAAGATAAAACACCAAAACAAAACTGCAACCGAAAGGCTTACAACCTACTCTTCTTCTGTTTCTTGCGGGGATGTTCATCGTGTTCCAAACCAGTGCCCACATTCTCTTCTTCTCCATATCCACTCCCACGCTCACAATAGTTCCTACTACAAGAGGTCTCTTTGACTCTTGATAGTTGCTCGGTTATTTGAACTATTTGCAATTCTTCGATGTCCTCCACATGCAAAATACTTCTTCTTTGCTCTCTGTCCACTGATGTTACATAAACAAACACATCTTCATCATCCAAAATATATGATTGCCTCTTAGGTTCCACTACCAATGGGATGTAACCCAAACTGAGCCTCTTCATAAACGGATCTATTTCCATCTTCCTGCATATCTTCTCCTTCAACATCAAATAAGTGATCTCCTCCAACGATGATGTCTTAAAGGATATAGCATACAAACGACCATCAGTTGGAATCCATTCATAATCATCTCCATCCTTCGAATAATGTCCATCATAATCAAAGTGTATGTTCGTCGAAAAAGGACTCATTGTCTGCAATTTAAAAATAATTAAACCTCTAAAGTTATACTTGGTTATACAGTTATACCATCAAAGTTATATTTCGTTACACCATGTTACACAATTGTGTCAGTAGTCAATTAGTAATCGGCCAATGTCTAATCTTCTTTGATTGAATCGTCCTTTCATTCCTGACATTCAATCATACAGTTGTTGGTTATTTGTTGATTATCCAATTGAGTAATAAACATATCATCCACACCTTCATTCCTTTCTGATCTTCGATTAGTGAATAAGAAATTTCCAGTTACAATGACTCGAGTCTTTTAAACAGTTTTGATTCCCGACATTCAATTATACGGTTGTTGGTTATCGAATTCCTTAATAAGTAGACCATTCAAACTTTCCGATCTTCCTCGATTAGTTCAAACACAAATACGAAATTTTCTATCTAATCGAAATCCCTGTGATGATTTGAGATACATTCCCTTTTACACGGAATCAAAAGCGACGAGATCGCAATAACATGCAAGGAAGAACAAGAGAATGTTCTGAGAAGACTGGACTCGACTAATACTCCAGAAGAAGAACTCTCCTCCTCGACGACGGCTCGATAAATATCTATCAATTTAGAATAATTTGGAGAGAGATAATTTCGAATTATTTATTAAACAATTCATTAAATCGGTCATGGGTATTTTCGACATTAACCACCACTCTTGAAAGTATTAGAATAAATAAAAATATTCCAGATTTTGTGAGAATATGTTAGATTATTTTTTGCCTCATTAAGAGCATCTGAGGTTTTCTCTCCAAACTTCACCAACCGCTTGCCATTCGATTCTAGGTTCACTATGTCTAACAAACACGTATGTGTCAATGAATATACGTATCATCTTTAATATGCACGATCTTTTTATCTGTTTCGTTATTTAGAAGAAATTGAAGTGGTGTACAACTAATTACTATGCCGATAACATCTGAAGTAAATATTGTTATTGAATAGACACAACGATCAAAACGTTTAAATAAGGCAACTTATATTATTACTCACCAACAGAAGTTTTTCAGCTAAGCCTCATATGGATAATATCAGTGAATATTAAAGGATATAAACACAGCAAAGATGATGTAGAAGCAGTGTGCTTAAATATGGTTGATATAGTGAATTTGAGTTTAAAGATGTTATTGGTTGTCATGGTTCTACAACGTTTATTTTTATTAGGCCTGGA